TATTTAGGTTTGACTAGTGTAGGCTGGGTAAATGGCACATAAGGATGGTCCCATTTTATTCACAATAGTATTCCTGTAACAAAAGAGCCTATTACCTCGTGTCACGTCTGTGAAAGAAAACACAGCTTTCTCTGAAAGAGAAAAAGTGGGGGAGAGAGAGAGAGAGAGATTTAGATGTTATTTGTGAGGATGAGATATTCCCTTTTTATGTAGTGTAGCCTCAGATCTGTAACATTGTTTGTATTAAATAATAATAAGCAATCTACATTTTAGACACATTATTGGCGGTTACAGTACTGTCTATACTTTTGTTTAATCTGTAGATCCAAACAAAGTCCAAGTAAGCAAAACACAGTAACTATGTGTTCTTGAATTAATCAATGTTTTTGAATGGCTTGGTTAAGCGAATGATTCAACGACTGTGGCTGTGTCCGAAATCGCTTCTGAACAAGTAATTACTTTGTGAACATTAAAAAAGTACATTTGATATAGTATAAATGTGAGTGGTATGAATGCAATTCAGACATATTAGATTTGTCATTGTCATGCACCCCAGCATCATTTAATTTACAAATCATCTCCTGTGAGTGAATGATTCAAATGGGTCACTTAACACTGACAAGCGCAAAGGTAAATTTTGGGGCAATTAGCTCTCTGTGACTCTCTGATTTGTGGAATTGCATGATGGGCAATGTAGTCTTTCACCATGTATTCCAACGCATTCTCATCCCAAGGCGTCATATATGGCACTTTTGCCAAAGCGTAGACATCCAACACACATGGTACCCTTTAGCGTCAAATGAGACGCTTCTGTAATGGTAGGTTTAGGTGTGGGGTAGGGTTAGGGTTAGACCACTAGGAGGCGCCTTCTGCTCCATGTATATCTGCGTCTCATTTGACACTAAAGGGTGCCATATGCGTTGGATGTCTACGCTTTGGCAAAAGCGTCGTATATGCCCATTCTCCTTTGGATGAGAACGGGCTCTGTATTCTGTTGTTAAACACGAAAAATTTGAAAGTTAAGTCAAGAAATAATGTGGAATATCAACCACTGAATTTACAGGAGGTCTGTCTATAAGTTATCGTTGAAAATCACAAATTTCCCAAAAGAGAAAATTAATGGAGACTCTTGAAATCTGTACATAAGCAGTCATGATGGTGGAAATTATGAAAATTCTATTTGAAACGCAAAGTTTCTCAGGGGAACTCAAAATACATGCACGTGTTTTGCACGTGAACACACTATTTTTTGACAGGACAACGCAATACTATTGCAACGAAACTCAAAAGTTTTGCGAGTAAACGCGGAAACATTGAAATATTATTGATCCTTTCATCTTGGCTCCTATAGGTCTTCCACTGTTCGCTAAAATATCTGTTATTTTTTCTAGTGGTTTATTTAACTTTCTGCTTTTTTTTTGCTGCATTTCAGAAAAAAGGAGCATTAAATCCCTTCCATCATGTTTAAAAGATAACATTTAGCTACTAAGATTATCTGACTAGCGTGTTTTCACTAAATATCTTCAAATCTCACCGTTCACTGTCACATTCACCCTGTGCTCGGAGACAGACGTGTCATTGTTACCATGGACACGGATTCTGCAGGTATAGACTCCGGTGTCTTTGCTGGTGATGCGGGCCAGCTTGCTGAGCAGACTGCCCTTGTCATGGGAGATTTCAGTGTATAGCTGTTCCCCCGAGGAAGACACCCACGTTCCCCAGGAAACCACGGAGGAGGGAGACACCTGAGCTACCAGTCTCAGTGTACTGTCCACTGTGGCAGGGGGCGTGGGAGTGACAGTTACTGCAAAAGAGAGGGAGAGAACGCCTGGAGATATCAGACACATTGAGACATGAAGAATATGGTGTGCATGATGGGGTTGTATAGTCTACATTTAATCAGAGCGAGCAGGACAATCCTCTCCTGTAGCTTCTTGTCGTCCTGTTCAATCACACAGGAGTAGCGTCCTCGAGAAGATGCTGCAGCCCTGAAGATCAGAGAGGCATCTGCAGAGATCTCAAAAGTCTTGCCTCCAAACACTCTGCTACTGCGTCCATCTGTTTGTCCATCGATGCAGTTGGCTGATAACAAATATGACCAGCGATCCTCCCTCGCTGACATCATCTTCCAGCTAACCAGTACAGAAGATTTGGGTGGTGAATCAAAGCAGGATAGGGTGACAGATGAGTCCTCACGTACCATAACCACATCATTCCATAGATTACCTGTAAATCATATTTTTAAATGCAAGAAGTCACACACACACACACACACATTTTTTTTAAATGATTTAATTTGATTTAATTTAATTCAGTCAAGACATTAACTTTCATGCTAAGACAGAACTATATTAAAAAAAATAATTCTTTTAAAAATTACACTGTAAGTTTACCTTTTTTTACCCACTAATTTTCTGTGGAGCCCATTGAATCCCCTTGCAGACCCCTGCGGGCCCCCAAACCACAGTGTGAAAGCCCCTGTAGTGCAGTATAAGCTGCAGTTATCTATGTTAATCAGAATATAATGAATATAAGCTCAATTCAATTTAGTGTCTCTGTGGTTCATTTAGATGACAGAGATATCTAGAGATTCTAGTCCCTAAAGAATTGAGATTTTTGTCAGTATAGAATTAAATGAATTATACTTGAAAATTTCACTTGAAAATTTCAGGTTGAACCATATAGTTTCAACTTTATTTCATCTCAGGCCAAACAAAGTGATATATACAGTATATATATATATATATATATATATATAACAGTATATATATATATATATATACCAGTGATAGCTGTATATATATATATATATATATATATTTATTCACACACAACAATTTTTCAACAAAGATTTTATATATTCATGTTGTTCTCAGGTCTGCCTGTTGAACCCTGTTCCTGTCTTGCAATAATGTGATCAAATATGAAGGCATACAGCTGTTCAGAGCATGTTGCTTCCCAGCTTAAATGAGAGAGAGAGTTATATAATATATGATCATATAAATGAGCATGATGCGTTCTCTTTTGAACTGTAATATTTCTTCACTTTAGGTTGCCTGAAATAAAGTTAAACTTTCTGCATTTTAAGTATAACTTACTCAACATTTAACACAATACTATATATATATATATATATATATATATATATATATATATATATATATATATATATATATATATATATATATATGTTGCATGTATTCTTTATTGGTTTACTATAACAAGCTTTTAAATTTGTTTAGATAGATTTTCATACCTGCCATGAGCGGAGAGGTGATAAAGCATGAACCAAAACAAACGAGTATGAAAGCATGAAAATAGTTCCCCATGGTGCTACAAGGAAACAACATTATTAGTGAAAGTGCAAGAGTAGTCTGTATGTCTTCTTTCTCGCATTTGACCACAAGCATTAGACAGGAAAATGGCCCGACACTAAGTGCTGAGAACAACACGTGACAGAAGCTGATAAACACAACAAATGTCAACACACATGTAAAAAACGGAAGCAATACATGGCTGATAAACAGAACACTAATTTATATGCAGCTAAAGTATCATACTGAGATAAGTCAGTGTTTTTATCTGTAGTCACATAGTCCTGTTTCTGGTTATAACAATTGGATCATATAAGTAGCCTACAAAATAGGCTCATATAGGCCTAGGCTATAAGTATAAAAATGCTAATTTCTGAACTGCAAACCGTAATGTTGGCTGGTCATAAAACTTGACTTGAGCGGAATGTTAGCCAAGAGTGTGGGAATATGCTTGTAAAAAGAGAGAGAAAGAGAGTGAGAACATAAAAAAAGGATTTAGAGATGTATTCAGAAATGGTCTTCAGCTTCTGGCTAAATGTCTTTACATCTTCGTAAATGTCTTTAATTAAAGTTAACAGACTTATCAGCACCTTGAAGTCCCATTACCAGCTTAGCTTCTAATCACCTCTGAGCAAAAGAATGAGAAAGGGTCTAAAGAAAAGAGATAAAAATAAAGAAAACTGAAACTGAGAAAAGACGGTAGGGATAAATGAGCTGAGAAACTTCAGAGAGAGCAAACTAGGGCAAAGCAGCTAATGAGAGTCAACGTAGCAGAGCCTATTGTCAGGCTACGTGTCATTGGCCCAGTGCAAACGACAAAGAGAATGAGTAAAGAGAGAGATGCTTCAGTTTTGAATTAATAGGGTGTGGAAGTGACAGAATAACTGTGGTAGAGTCAAGTCTTCTGCCCTAGGACAGAACTATTTCAGCAATCAGAACTGATCTCACTAAAACCTACTAGGCAAGTTTTGTTCAGTGTGATTGTATTTCGCCGTGTGTAAGCATGCTTCCACAGCATAGATACTGAACAAAATCAATGTTCTTTCGAAGACGCAGATATGTGCCCATGTTTCAACGATGATATGGTTGGCTGTAGTGTCCGTTGTGTTACCAGCAAGGGGAGCGCTAGAGCCACACTAGTTCACACACAACTCCCAACTAAACTTAATTACCCCAAATATGTACTTGTTCCATTGTATCGTTTTATTATACCTCCAAGAAACTCATTATGCTGATTTTTTTTATCTGCTCTTACATTGGCAATTAAGCTTTAGAAACGAAGAGAAAGCACATTTCCAGCTAGAACTGATACAAACAAGAGTGACTAGACTAGTTTAAATGTTGTTGTTTTCCATACTCTCTAGCATCCAAAAAAAGCCAAAGGAAATACACAGGGAGTTAGTTTCGTCATTCGCTATGACGAAGAGGGTGTGTATGCTACAGCTGTCTCTGGTATTTAGTGAATACAGCACTTTATACGAAACATGAGAAGTGTTAACTGAAATTAGAACAATTCCTGTCATTATTGGATCGAATTATAGTTTAGTAGCCTGAAACTGAAAGGAGTATAATGGTCAGAACCGTCTAGTTTCTGGAAAGTACCGAGCCTCACTGGATTTTAGGTGACTTTAATTCAGCGTGACGTATGGTATGACATCACACGACTGTGTCCAATGAGCTTCGCGTTCCTGATAGAGTTTCAACAGAGTCCGATTCCAGGGCGACAGGTTTGAGACTCCGCCATCTGAGTGTGTGAAACCAACTCACTCACTGGATATTTATTCACCTGTAGGACGCTTCTTACCTGGCCGCCACAGGACACCGCAGTTCGGAGGACAGAAGCTGTTTATACGATTTAAAAGGGATTTCGGACGCTACATTGTAAACTCAAGAGGGACTGCTGAACAGACTTCAGCGACGCACCTTAACAATAAGTTTCTCTGCTCGCCCATTCAAAGAAACTAGAGAAACCACCTAACAGTTTCTATCTCCATCTGACCGTCTCGATTCTGTACCGAGTTCATCAAGCGGACAACAGACATTTTTTGTAAAGGTGGACTGTCCACCCTTCCCTCCGATGAACATGTCAGGACTGTTAATCGCACTCCTTCTCCTAATTATTCAAGGTAAGACATATTATATGATCTTTAAATAAATAGTATAAGGATTCACAAATTATTGCCGGTTATAAATCACACTGTTCTCTGTCACTTCCATTCAAGTAGATAGTCAATCAAAGCGATAGTCGAGAGTCATAACATGACGTTAACTTAAATATCCTATCTTAATCGTGCGCGCGCACATCTCTTACTGAACTCTGATTACATCCGACTATATTCTTCTTGAAATAAAATGAATAACTATGACAGTGTTGTTTAGTATACGGGAAAAAAAACTTCCCTGTCTGGGTTATTCATTTTGTTTCTTTCCCCTGGAGATTGTATGAGTTTGGTTTCGATAAGCGCCATGTTTCTCTAGGTGTGGCCTTGGGAAGTGCTTTTTTCCCCTCGTACGTGTTGACAGGTGTGTTTGTTTGCGAAACTATGGACATTACATTATTCAGTCGTCCTTCAGTGCTCTCTTTCCCTCGTACCACATTTCTCCCAGTTCCTCACGTCCTTTGAGTCTTTTCTCCCTTCACATCATATCATAATATTTCCAACTGAAAAGAAACGTAAATAAATCCATCACGCAACAGGGTGTTTCGGACTTTGTATTATATAGGCTATACAATATATATATTTCAACTTAGTATAATTTTAGTCGTATCTTTGAAAGCTATAAAAATCATTCTCAAAACGTCATTGTGTTGAATTTTTAATCAGCTAATTTATTTGACCGACGATCAATAAATTTACCGGTACATTGCCGGTATACCGACTTTTGTTTAGTCATATTTCGCCGCACTTCTGCTCCTTTTGATCGTATATTCAGCTGCTCCTCAGTGTCTTTGCAGTTTAATTATTCAGTTGCCATGTCATGGTCCGCAGGTGCACAACACCTGACAGCGAGCGAGCTTTGGCTGGTGTGAGTGTTTTAACCGAGCATACACACACTGTAAAAGATCTTAAGTAGAACTTCTTTTTGATTATAATAAAAGGTATGAATAGACTTATATATGGCAAATTTGTAATGTGTTGGAAAATACATTATGTATTAATAGGGTATGATGTGGTAAAGGTTTGTGACATCACAGGATCCAGTACTTTATCTAAATAAGGGGAAAAAAAGCAATTTACTCCTTTAACTTATTCATGGTCTGGACCTCTTCTGCCTGGGCCCATTTCACAGTACAACGGCTGCACTTCAGGAGGAAAACTAGAATAACGAAACAAAGGATTTGTTTTATTTATGAACAGAGCAGCGGAAGAAGGGGTCATGATTGCCTCGCTTAAGCGAACAGTATAAACAGGCCTTGTGTTTTCTTTTTTTCCCTTTCCCTTCGCATCCATTTAGTTCAGTGTCTTGGGAGCTTTTGCCTTTATACACAGCAGTTGCAAAATATTTAAAGGGTCAAAGCATTGTTTTGTGAGCTTGACTCAGTGGCCCCTGCAGACTCGTTTTCATTGCTTGCCTATTAAAAACAATCAACATCATGCACACCAATATAAAAGCCTTATTTTAATAACCTCATTATTACTTTTTAAATTAAGAGCTATAAGGACAGGAAGTAGGTTTACCTAGTTTTATGAGTATAGAACTTGAGCCAGTTGAAATGTACTGAAATGTAGGCTACTAGGAGCAGTAGAGATCTGCACAATAGCAGCTACTGATTGTGTTCTAATACCCTCCAGTGAACACGGGTCAAAAAATGCTTGAACCCGTTACCATGGAGATGCTGTGTTTTCATTGAAAGCCAGGGTTAGGGGGGCTACTGTAGCAGCGTCTCTGGCTGAATGCATCAAGTGGTCTGTGTGTGTGTTTGTTTGTTTGAGGAGGAGGGGGTTGGGGAAAATGTTAGGCTGCTACGATGATGGAGGCGGAGGCCAAGATGACCTTATTCTAAACTGTGTGAGTACAGCAGTTACAGACGCACACTAATAAGCGCACACAGTGATTGGAACATCACTAGCTCAAGTGGGTTAAACAGTGAAGAAGTATTGAGTAAACAGGCGAGCTGGTCTCCATTGTTTGCTGTTTCCTGAAACTGAAGAGCATGTAAACAAAAGTTGAACCGACTTTTCAGCTGCCATTCTCTCATCTTCTCCCATTTCTTTCCCTCCCTTCCTCTCTTTTTGCGTCCCTCGCGTCCTTATCCGCTTGCTTTTGTTTGAGCGATGATTGTCATTGGTGTATTCAAATCTTCCCCCCCGCCCCACCTCACTCTGACCTCAAGGCCACGCTGTTTATTAGTGTCTGAGCTGGTGAAAGAACGTGGGAGGAGGTGTAGCAGTAGACAGAACTGAAAGACTGTGGAAAGAACATTGATTTTAAAAATGCTGCATTCCTGCAAAAGCTCTTACACAATGTTATCTTGGTACACTCTTTAAAATAAAGGATTCAAAAGGGGTTTTGCACAGTGGGATTTTTGGGGGTTCTTTTAGTGAAAAATTCTTAAAAGAACCATTTTTTTCTTCTATGTAAAGAACATTGTAATAAAGAACCTGTTGTGCAGTGGAAAGATTCCATGGATGTTAGAGCTGCATAAGTCTGAATAAATTGAGAATCTCTGTTTCTTTGTTTGAAATGGTGATCAAAAATAGATTCTCTCATGATTCTGAATAGACTACTATAAATAACATTTCATTTACTGGAGGTCCTGACAAATTGTCAATTGCTGCTATCTATCTAAAACAAAATTAGAATTAATTATTTTTAAAAACTGTTTGTATTAATTATGCTATGACAAATACATTGATACCCTTTTCCCCTCTCCGATTCCGATTCCTGGACTCAGGGTATTGGCTGATACCGAGTACTGATCCGATACCTGGATGTATGTACAGCTGCAATTCATACTAGCCCTGAATCGAAATTGGTCATCCAGCCATCCTCGTTGGCTGTCTTTTGAAAAAGTTTCTCTTCACTTAAATGAAGCTTCCAGAGATTGTTGATTCTGGCTCGGCTTATCCTTCTCTGCCCTTGCCATCATGTTCTGCAGGGTGTTGCATCTTCAAATGCTTTATTAAGTGTTGAAGCTGCTAATCTTGTGCCACCCCTTGAAATTGCAGTGGCATATGAGACATGTCAGCATTTTACTGGCTGGTTGGTCCAGTCTTAAATACTGCCAAACGGGTGGACATACTGCTTGTGGACAGTGGTTGCATGTGGCAACAGCATGACTTCCTGTGTTGCCACAAGCAACCGCTGTTTAGAGCAGCGAAGAAGAATTGATCTCCGATTTGAAGCGTTAAACGAAGCTAGCGTGTATAACTAGTTATTGTTTAGGAAAAGGGTATGGGGTCGGTACATGGGTAGAAGTACTCGCCGATGCCAGAATTTTTTTATTGGTATCTACGGCACTTCTGTACTAGTATCAGAATCAGAACAACTAGGTTTGCACTGATAACACAAATACACTGACCACTGCTTTAACTGGGTCAGCAGCAGCACCAATGAAGATCTGAGTTTTCGCTGTGATCGTCCTTGCCAAAAAATTTAATAGACATACTCGAATCTTTGTAATTTAGAAAAAAAGATCACGGGTGCAGACTGATCTCATGAAATTGCGTGTACGACACGCCAATTCGTATTTCTATTTTTGGCGTGCTATCAACACGCATAATTGCTTTTCAGCGTGTTTATGAACGCCGCTGACTTAAAATTACATTACTGTATATGACCTACCCCAACTCTGTCCCTAAACCTACCCGTCACTGGGGTTAATAGCATTTGTGAGTCTTCCCCTACCATCCTGGGAAAAAAAATATCGCTCCCCAGATGTAGATCTACATTTTGCTTCGTTTCGCTCAGACATTTAACGGCGTGTACATACACACGGCGGAATCACTCGGACATTTAACGGCGTAGACATACACGTGGATAGCTCATAATGCGTATAGATAACACGTCACTTGACTTGAAAGTGGCGTGTATGTTTACGCAAAAGTCATGATGTCATGTTGCACTGATGTGTGAATCGAGATTGATCTTTTAACTATTAATCTGGCAGCTCTATTGAATGTTATGGGATCTTCGTAGATACTATAGAACTGATAAAGAACATTTTATGAGTGTATCTCTGGGGTTTTTGGGAACTTGTAGCTGTGTGTGTGGTTGAAGGGAGCCATCAGTGATTGTGGATCTCTCATTCTGACTGCTTGTACAGATAAGGCTGGATGAGTGATGGGGGTTTTGTGGATGGGGGAATCAAAGCTTTTTACACTTCTATGCTTGACATGCAGCTCTGGGAATGAAGTCTGCCGAAATCAATGAGGCACCTTGTAATTAAGATCAACCCTGCACTAATATGGACACTGGAGATTTTCCCGCCAAGCTTCGTATGATATCCATGGAACGCAGCGGAGTCCTGATTTATGAGTGACGGGTGAAATACAATATAAGTAACTTTTGTAGTCAGGGTTATTTTCAGAATAGCTTTTTCTTCGTTCAAAAATGGAGCTAAAATGAATCTCGCCTGGTCCTCGAAGCACTTAGAGGACAAGGCTCTTTTAAAGCATTTCTTTTCTGACTGCCTCGCTCTATTCTTGTCACTTTCTTTCTCTCGCTCCGCTCTCACTGGTTCAGCAGATGTCAGATCTCAGAATGCTTTTACGGTATTAGAGATTTATGGGGTTGATATGTCTGGTTAATTGGTCCTCATATTTTAGTCTTTCGCCTGGTGATGGAAAGCCAACCGACCATTGTGGCTTTGACAAGATGGTGAGAACTGAAACAAGTGGCAGGGAGGAATGAGAAAGCGGGGTTCTGCTCCTGCTGTGGTTTACCATCTTCGAAAAGTGCCTTATGATCTTGTGGTGGAACTGTTACTGTTTTTATGCATCTAAAATGCAGATAAAACATGATTCAGCGAGACACACACAAAAACATAATGTTATCACACCCCATGCTGGCTGAGTTTACCCCTTGCCCTATTGCATGCTGGGAGATCAGTGACTCTCCAGGGGCCAGTAGCCAGTTGCGCTGGTTGCCAGATTGATATAGGAATTTTGAGAATTGCCAGGTT